AAGTAGCCAAATACCCGATGCTTCAAGCAGTAATAAAGCATGCAGTCATGAGAAAGTCTTCTGCTGCAATGTGGAAGGAGTGAAAAGAACAGGAAATATTAAGTCCTCCAATGGTATTTCTTATTCTGAAAAGTTATTACACTATTGGCTGTGGGGGGTTGGAGATCAGAGACCAAACTGTGGGAGTCAGTTCTCTCCTTCCACCATGTGTGTCCAAGAGTTTGAATTCGTGTCTACAGGCTTGGCTGCAGGCACCTTTGTGAACTGAGCCATCCCACAGGCCACGTAATATTACTTTTTTATTACTTCTTTCAGTTTTGAGATTATAATAAAAATCATTCACCCACCCCTTCCTGTTCTTCCTTCTAAACACTCCTGTAAACCTCCTTTGGGTTCTTTCAAACTCATGGCCTCTTTTTTCATTAACAGTTGAGAATATATACTAATTACTTAAGCACAGCATTCTCAATCTGTATAATGTTACTTGAATGTAGGCTTTCAGGGCTGGTCATTTGATGTTAGATGACCAGTTGATGTGCTCTTCCTTGGAGAAGACAATTCCTACTCTCAGTATTCATTAGTTGACTATGTTTCTTTGTGTGGGGTTGAGGCCTTGTGAGCATCCTCTCATTCACTTTGGCAAGCCTATTGTTGTCTTTGTTCAGCTCATGTTTATGCAGTCATGTAGGTGCAACTTTAAATAGTCAGAAAAATAACTTGTGGTGAGAACAGTTTAAGGATGCTCATTTTCTAACAATAATTACAACTGGTTAAGTACCTCCAATGTGCTTAACAATGGCTTGGAGAGTCTTATGCTGTAAATTATTGAATGAGATGGAATCTTTGTAACAACTCTGACACTGTAACCATTATTCCCACATTTACCCACAAACAAGTCAGGAACAAACAGGTTAAGCTGTTTGCCAAAGGCCCCACATTGAACAATTTGCAAATCTAAAATGTAAACCTAGTTTTGTCAAATTTGGGGTGCAGCTTTACTCTTATCTGTATCTATGTTAATTGAAATATGACCTATTTAAAGATGTTTAAATAGAATTAAACAATGCAATAATAAAAGTACTAATGAATGCCCCCCATGCTCCCTCTCCCCATTTCCTCCACTTTTTTTTTCTTGTTTTCCAAAATGAGCCTGAAACATTAGCTTACATTTAGTGCTCAATAAATTGCTGTGGGATTTTGCCTGGGGAGCTCTGAAAACCCTGCAGGCAGATATCATCGATCCAACTATAGTGTCATTATGTGCCTGTCCATATGCATGATGTGGAGGGGAGGCTTTGTTCCAAGGATCACAAAACCATCATCCATCTGACACCCGGCGTTGTTGGTGGCCTCTTACCTGCAGGGTTTCCCACAAATGTCTTCCTTGAACTGTTATTATTTTTAATTGCTCACAGGATGTGTCTTATTAGGAAAGTTCTTGTCAACCAAGACTATCAGTAATGCCTCCGAAGGGTCTCAGCAAAGCCATGAGTAGCTCCAGCTGGTGAGAGGCCAGATTCATGGACCTGATATTTTCCAATATCACAGAACCAGCTGACCCTTTCAGAGACATTAAGAACCACTGCAGATGATGTAGGTAAGGTCTGAACAGAAAGTTTAAGGAAAAGACTTTGTGCTAAGGGGATAAAAATCACTGTGTCTCTGAAAATCCTCAACTCACATATCATAAATAACACAAAAATAATCAATAATGGTATTAGTAATATACTCTCCCCTGTCATAGGAAAAGTTAGTAACTTTTTGATATGAACAAGTGACTCGGATTCTCTACAAATCGGTTTCCTCATCTGTAAGATTGGAGCAATTACTCAAATCATTGTTTTGGATTGAAGTGAGAAAATGGCATCAATAAAATTCTTTTTGTTCCAGTCAGACTGGAGTTAAATAATAACTTTTATGAAAGTAAAATTAAAGCCTCTCAAGGAAATCAATGTAAGCAGATTCCATGAAAAACTGGAATAAAAGACTTAAGCACCATAAAAGAGTTCTCTCTCCTTCTTGGCTCTTTCCATTTCCACTCAGTATCTCCCTCTTTACATTTTCTAAGCTTATAAAGCAAAATGCAGTGCAGAAACTTGCTTTCCCACCCTCTTCAATCTAAAGTTACCCATTCAAGTTCTAAGTCCAGTGGACGCTGGGACTGGCTAAGTTCACATTTTGTGATTTCTTCTAAGCCAACCAATTGTTTATTGATGAGGGCAGTTCTCTCTCCAGCTTTCCAATCTGAACCTATGCTAAGCATACAAAATGAGACCAAGGTCATTTCAAAAAAAAAGGGGATTTGCTCCTAGAAAAATGATTCCATGCAGAACAAATTACTAGCATCTAGTACAGAAACATATTAAAAATATCTCAGCAATACCCATTCCAAAATAAATGCACTTGTGTTTGGATATTTGTCCAGAGTAAACATATATTAATATAGGTATTTTGTCAATATACAAATGTCTGAACATTTTAAATGTTCATATCTTCTATAAGACCAAACAAAGATAGTATTGTGTACCTGGCTTGGTGGTACATACCTATGGAAGGAAAAGTATCATTAGTTCAAGACCAGCTTTGACTAGAAATGAGTTAAAGCTACCCTAGGATACATGAGAACTTGTGTCAAAAAGACAACAAATCAGAAAGCAAAAACAGCATTATGTATTAGTTATAATGAAAATACATAGTATATTTTAAGATGAGGGTAATACATGCTAAATGATAATTTAAATGTGTAATACAATCTGTAGTCAACATACCTTGGGGTTTTGTCTCAATAAACTCATGGTTAAGTTTAAAATGCTTATACCATCCCTAACTAATTTGTTGCCACCTAAACAACACTGTATGTCATGGTTTTTATTGATCTGCATTGTGACAGAGATTCATTAGAGGCATATGAATTAGAGATTCATAGAGGTATAACAGAACATGCTACCATAGACCAACCACCCAGAATAAGATCAAAATTCATTATTTCAGGTTCCTTACTACTGAATGAGAATCATTTTCTTCTTTATATGCTATAAATATCTTAAGTTGAGGCAGCATCATTTGCATATATGCTATTCATTTTCCATTGAATAATCTAAGGAGACAAAGAAAGTCAACATACTGCAGAATAGGATTTTGTCAGTCCTGTTTCTTTTCTTGTCCTTTAGAACCCAAATTATCTCACAATTTTTGTTCTCACATTTTGTTACAACCCACATCTCTAAATGACTACATTTATGGGCCTACCACTGAGTGTTTAGCATGAGAAATCTTGGGGATTGTATCAAGCACTTAAAATCATTTCAAAACCAACAAAAATGCCTTTCTATAACTAGCAATAAACAGAATACAAAATTGAAAACAAAAAGGTTAATTCCTATTTTTGTCTCTTTTCCTAAATGTGAACATACTAATTTCAAACAGGTCATTCTGTTTTCCTGTATCTATCATCTGTGATGGATAATTTTCATTGTTAACTTGACTTCTTTAGATTCCACAAGGTTTACTTCTGGCTGTGCCTGTGAGGAAATTATCCTAGGGTTCATTTAATAGAAAAGATGCACCCTAAATGGGGGGACTACCCCATAGGCAAGGACTGTATGTAATAACATCTGGGGGGAAAAGTAGAAATTCAGAATGTGGCTTCATCCCCTCTGTTTTCCGGTTTGTCATGGAATGAATAACTAACTCTCCTTATTCATACCAACCATTTACAAGATGTCTGACTCAAGTACACAAGATCAAATAAATGTGGACTGAAGCCCCTGAAACCATAAGCATAACTAACTCTCCCTTTTCAAAGTTCTTCTTTCTGGTATTTTGTTACAGCAACATGGAAATAACTAATAAGCCACCCACAAATCTACATAGAGCCTACCCCTCCTTCAAGATGAAACCCCAGAACATCGGCAGGTTAACGATATACTAGACTCATTCATAGGGATGAGTAGAGAGAAATCTCTGAGAAGCAGAGATTTTCCTTTATTTTCAGAAGTGAATTCTCACTCAAAAAAGAACACATTTTGAATGTCATTTTTAAAATATCTTTTGCTTTGGTTAGATTATAGGAATCTGATTATTGTCTGCCATTAAGCTCCAGACCTCAGTGAGGAATCACTCTACAAATGTCAGGCTTTAGAAATATACTCCTTTGCATCACATTCTAGAATCCCTTTTGGGTGTTTCCTGAGCAATTTTGTAAAGACTAATTCCGGAACTTTTCAATGATAATAAATAAATATGGCTGTTATGATTGAATAAAAAGGAAATTACTATCTCATTTTGTGTTACTTCCAGCTGTGACTCCTTTATAGGAATAAGAAATAAAACTGAAGAAGTGACAGTATTCTAACAACACACCAAGAAAAGCTGAAGGAGGGAAGACAAAGTGGCAGATTAATTAGTAGTGTCTGTTATCAATTAATAATTATGACTTTTCATTTGTTATCAAATATTAAAATAACTATCTTGAAAGAGTTGGCATCATCACCATCATCATCATTGTCATCATACCATCATCATCATCATCATCATCCAGTCTGGAAAGGTGGTCACATAACTGTTTCTAACCATAGTTAGAGCTGCATAGTTGTAGCTCATATGTTAGACTAAGAGCCTTGTAAATCCTGTCAACTTATTTTTGACAATGAAGATATCAAAACATGCACATGAGTATGCTATAGCTGAGCAGTGTTGGTGTTTTATGATCTCTAATGGTTTTCCCGCCATTCTCTTCTTGCTACCTTCACCTGCGATTCAGGAAATGCTGAAGACAGTTGCTTTTTCCTTGATTCAATTTCAGCAGAGTCGAAGCTGGGATTAATCCTCACTTTCCTCTCTTCTAAATACCTGCTCTCCCCTCTCCTAATTACATGGCTTTAAACTAATTTGCATGAATTTCAGCTTTCAAAATCAATGGTCTTTGCTGAATGCAAATAAGCACATGGGAAAATTATATTAAGTTTGCACAATTGATCTTTCATCATTTCAAATGGTACCTTTGAATAGTTCCTGAAATGTCTGTCTGAAATACTCCCAACGCTGAGTGTCATCAAGAGATGGGGGGTCACACTGGGGAAACCCATTCTCGGTGATGTAAATTACAGGGTTATTATATGTATCCTAGAACAAGAGAGCAGAAGTTTCATTCCAAACAGATGTTAAAAAAAAGAAAAGAAAGCTCATAAAATCAGGTGCATTACCCTCTATCTTCAGGAAGCTACAACCCCAAAACTAGTTTTCATCAAATTGCACTGACCCTATTAACTTAATTTTCCACACACTGACCTTTTATGACTAACAATGGAGAAGCAAAACTGTGCAAATGTCCATGAAGACAGTCAAATGACTCTTAACATAATGAGAAGACAGAAATATCCTTCTTCCCATCAGCATCTGCTGATTGTCACTGCTCCTTAACCCCTTGGTCCCGCTGGCAGGTACATTTTCTATCACCCACAGGAGGGGTCCAGAAAACTGGTACCTTAAAATTGTAATTTTAGCTCCGAGCATCGGGGAGACTCAGGAAGCATCCAGTTCTCTTTCCTTAAAATGCCTTTTTTAACCACAGCAGTAACACTAGCTTGAAAACTATGTTCAAGTACTCATATAGACACAACAGAATTTAACAAAAAATTTTAGTGTTAAAACCAGCTAGTTAACCCTAACGAACTCAAATCTTACTCTTCTCTTCCTAGCCAACAAATGGACTTATCAACACCTAAAATCATCCCCTTTAGTGTTCATTCACATGGATACATATGACTTCCCAGAGTCTCCTGGACTAGGGTGTGCATAGACACAAATAAACCATTCATTTACCTTAATATATTTCAGTAGCTTACGTATTCCCCATGGCACCACATAGATCCAGCCCACATTTTCCCAGGATGGATTGGGAAAGAATTCAATCTCCACATCCTGAAGGAAGCTGAGTTCTCCCTTCTTATTCTCCTGGTGCCTGACCAAGCGAGTTGTGTAATATTGAACAGCAAAGAAATCAGCAGTGCCTTTGACCATTTTCTTCTCTTCTTCTGTGAATTCTGGAAGCCTTGATGATGGATAGCCTTGTTTTTTACTCATGGTGGCAATCTGGACCTTGACAAGTTCAGGATAATCACCATCAATAAATATGGGTTTAGCAAAGAAATCCAACTGAAAATTGATGGCCCTCTTAGTAGCTTCCTGGTCAAGCACTGAGTTGGGATCTGCTGGTTCTAACCAGCAAAAAAATAATGATAGAGACACAAAACCTTTCTGCTCTTTTCGGAATAAAGAATCATAGCTATGCCAGGATCTGGCATGAGCCTTAATCAAATTATGAGCAGCTTGATAACCTCCAGTCCCAAAGTGAGGCACACCAGGAGCAAAAATACCCATGTCATAGGCCAAAATAGCAAGAGTATTAGGCTCATTTATGGTGAGCCACCACTTCACTCGGTCTCCAAAGGTCCTGAAGCAAAACTGAGCATATTTGTCGAAGGCTTCAACAATTGCTTCAGACAACCAACCTCCTTGATCTTCTAGAGCCTGAGGCAAATCAAAGTGATAGATGGCCACTATGGGTGTCACCCCATTCCTTAGCAAGTCATCTATGATCTTGTTGTAATAGTCTATGCCTGTGAGGAAAAAATGTAAGAAACAAAAAGTTAGTTTTTAATATGATGTCACTATATTTTATGAGACAGGTATTTGGATAAGTCTTATTCAAAATAAGGTGTATTATGTATTTAAGTTATCTGTGAAAGGTTGGAAGGAAGCATAGAGAATGCCAGAGAAGATGTAATAATTAGGAAGGAATGGTGAGGAAAGATGTGAAGATAATTTCTCCAAAGCAGATACATTTGAAGAAGTTGTTGTCACCTAACATAATGCTTTTTTGTATGTATTGAAATCAGTTCCATAAGAACACAGGTCAGGGCCTAGGCCCTGGCCTGGATGAAATGACAGACTATGGACACCCTCCATGGGGAAAGGAGTGGGAACTGGAGGGGAATGGAGGGGTTGGTGGGAGGTTGTGGAAGGAGGGGAAGGAGAGGGAGCTGAGATTGACATGTGAAGCAACCTTGTTTCTAATTTGAATTTAAAAATAGAAAAAGACAAAAAAAAAGAACACAAGGTCTACAGAAATACCAAGTAAGCCTTCCTCTCAGCTGATTCTACCAGGATGTAATAAACCATAGTATGCTAGTTGAATTGTTGTAGAGTTCAGGAGAATGCTATTAAGTTGAAGAGGCTCTTCCTCAGAAACCAAGGCCAAGAAGATATTGGTACTAGCCTCATGCAATGGCTCTTACATTGGAAGTGACTCTCTAAGGAGAGGGTGGTGGTAGTACTGTGCCTGGCTTCGTGTTTAATATAAGGAAAGGAACGGGCACTTAGAGGAGAAAATCTGTTGTGGATTAAGAGATTTCGAGAGAAATGGTGTAAAATCACATGTAGAACTATATTAGAGGCTTACTGACAAGGAAGTTCTCCTCTTTTCTAATTTAGTGAATATAAAAGTAGACTTCTGCACTGTTTCACCCAGTCACCCCCTTGTTCTTTGCTTAAATGCAGATTGATAGGAAAACAATAGTATGCTGGGCATAAAAATTTAGGAAGGTAATCATGACCTTGGGAATTTACAAAGAACTCTACATATAATACAGATATGCTTAAAAACAGGTAAAGATGGCAGGGCTACATAGTACAGATAATGTTTAGCATTTTAGTTTGAAATGAGATAATCTATACCCACCCTAAATTGGGGAATCTGCAAGAATATTCTGAAAACATATGCCATAATGGATTCAAGACTGAGCTATGAAGCCAGCCTATTTAAATTCCGCTGCTACTCTGTCACCTACTAGCCCTGTGATTTTGGGTTACTAGGTCTCTCTGAATTATCTTTGTTCATCTGTAAATGTAGATAATACTAGAAACCTACTTCAGTAAATTATTGTGTGAGGGTACAATCAGTTGGTAGGCTGAATATGATAAGAACATTTCTTAACACATAAGAAGGGTTCAGTACAGGTTATCTGTCATTCTAATTAATGTTGTTATTATTAGATGAATATAAATGATCATCATAAGGCAATAAGAACAAAATGTTCCTTAACAAGAACAAGGAAAACCAAAACACCCAAGGAAATAGAGGCATGAAGACTATCCAAAGAAGAAAACCGGCAATGTACTCAGTTTGATATAGAACAACTATCATCACTCAGATGTGGTAAGCACTCAAGAACAGGTAAGGGAAAGGAAAATCAGAAGGCTTTGGGTGTGCTTTAACTGGAGCTGCTGGCACAGGCAACTGGAAGAGAACAGCAGAAGTGAGTGTGTCTTGTGGAGCATATTTAGCTCTCTCTGGTTTGCCTTAGTTGGATGCAAACCTAACATGGGAACAAAACCTACAGAAAGGGGAAGTTGTTTGCTAACCCTGACTATTCTGGGCAGACAGCTACAGAGGTTGTGGTTTAGCTGTCTGGACTTCTTATGTGGGTCATAGTTTTATTTCCTTTTCATATGCTGTCTGACCAGTGTTTATATACTCACTCTCTTTAAAAAGGCATTCCTGGGAACTGGAAGTTCAGATGTTTCATCAGAAGAGAAGGGAGAATGGAAGAAGAAAGCAGAGTAAGCAGAAACTATGTTGTGCAAAAGGGTATTGCTGACATGTCTAAGTATTTTTAATCATAGAACACATTTATTTGTAATTGTAGCAGAATAGCTCCTTCTCTTCCTAAAGATATCCATGAAATAAGTGAGTATATTACCTTGCAGACCCAAAAGAGAATACTATACAAATGCAATTGAAGTAAAGATCTTGACATAAGGTTTCTCTAGACTTTTCAAATGGACTCAATATAACACATAAGTTCTTAGAAATCGGAGAGTATGGAAGAAAAAAAAATAATCAAAAGATGTAACAATAAACAAGAGGTAGAGACAGTAATACATCATGAGAGACTAGTTTGACACCACTGACTTTGAAAATGAATAAAGACAACCCAAAGTCAATAAAATCAAGAGAAAGTAGCCAGCTGGTTAGTGGTGCACGCCTTTAATTCCAGCACTCAGGAGGCAGAGACAGGCGGATCTCTGTGAGTTCAAGGCCAGCCTGTTCCAGGACAGCCTCCAAAACAATACAGATAAACACTGTCTCGAAAAACCAAGAGAGAGAGAGAGAGAGAGAGAGAGAGAGAGAGAGAGAGAAAGAGAGAGAGAGAGAGAGAGAGAGAGGAAGTAGCCTTCAGAATATAGCCAGCAAGAACATGGGGGCCTCAATACCAATTGTCCACATCACACATGAACCAAAACAGAGACCACCTCATACACTTTAGAAAGAAGCACAGCCCTGAAGATACCTTGATTCTAGTTGATAGAACTCTGAGGTCACAGATTTGTGTTGGTTTAAGTAGTTGAGTCAGTGATGGTTGATTTGGGGAGCAATGGAAAAGCAGTATAATTTCTATATATAGCTTTCCTTTTACTGTTTCAAACCCATCTCTTGACCAATATAAAACCACATTTTCCACCTTGTAACTAGGATCTCTAAACTGATGTAGTACATTAACTAACCCTGGTATTGATAAGCTTCAAGCTCCTCCTAATGAACTCTTTTCATTGGTTTGTCTTGAATATGAGTTTCTTTTATTAAGTCCATGCCATATGGATGGCAAGCATTTTTGCTTAATTCTAGCACAAAGCCCAAGAGAGGAGAAATTTTATTCCTATTACACATATGAAAATGAGTATCAAGAGAGCCTGGGTGTTGTTAAATGGAATGGACAATATTTAGTCCCACAGTGTGTCTAACTTTTCCCACACTACAACATGTCATCTCTCCTGTTTACAAATGTTCTTGTAGCAGGAAAATGTGACTTTTATTAGCCTCAACTTCTCCCTACTTAGACCTGGTCATAACATCAGATTGTTTTTATTATCCTTTTATGAGGATTCTTTAATGGTAACCAATCAATTTTAATTCAAGCAACATGATAATCATGAGTTGGCATTAAATACATTTTATGTGTTTAGGTATTCATGATCTGTTGCATAATTTATATGTAATATCCTAGAATGGAATACCTTGTTAGTTTCAGCTTTATACAGTTCGCTTGATCATATAATGAGACTTTACAACTTTTCTGAGAGGTAGTAGAGTGGTTTTGTGTGTGCGTGCGTGAATGAGTGTGTGTGTGTGTGTGTGTGTGTGTGTGTGTGTGTGTGTGCATGCATGTTACCAAAGAGGGATCAAACCTAAGGTTTTTGTGAACACTAGGCAAGTACTCTGCAATTGAGTTGTATACCCAGCTGGAATGAGCACCATATCGGGCAACTTAGTCAAAGGAACTTGGACAAATCACATGCCTACAGTCTTCATTTATGAAAGGGAGGTGCTAATGGTGCCACCTTGTGGCTGTTATCAGGATTGGATAAGATCATATTGTTGAAGGTGTTGAGCTTCACTTATCAGTAATACTAGTAAGTAATATTCAGTAACAACTAACCCTCCATGTTCTCAAGTGACCATCTGTTACCAATCTTAGAGTCTTGACATTGAAAGGTCACTCAGACTCTGTTTTGTTCCAGATATTTAGTACAAGATCTTTGAAGAAGAAAAGCCACAAGCTTCTCTCATAGTCAATACTACATTTCTGTTTCAAATTAAGCCCATTTCTGTTTATTTGATCTTTGAAAACTTGGAGTAGATTTTAGATGTAGGAAAAATAAACCATCTCAGACTAACTGACATGCAAAGGTAGCATGGGGCAGATGGGTGGTGGGTCTGGGGTGGTAAAATGGGCAATACTTGACATAATATGACAATATCAGACACCCGATGACAAAAATTAACTACAACTGGAACCCAAGGAACTTGAACACTGAAGTGTTACATGCTGACTTTTCTCTTTTTAATACAGCTCTTCTTTTGCTCCATTTCAGAACCAGTTGGCTCTATGTGACACATTTACTATAGTTCTCCAAAAGTCATTGCACCTGCCAACACAACTTCAATTCCCTGTACAACCTACCAGCCAACTCAGTCCTCTTACTTGATCAAATCCAGACTTCTCTGAAAGATAAAAACTACTGGGCAAGGCCATAGACATTTGATACCACAGGGGATGGTCTTTTTCCTTTGTCCCATCAGCAGTGACCAGGAGTGAAACAGGATTATACAAAGAAGTAGGGAAACTCTGCTATAAGAGAAGAGGGCTAGATGTTTTAGAAGGTATTTTTCCAGTAGAAGGAAGGAAGGGCGGGAGGGAGGGAGGGAGGATGGAGGGAGGGAGGGAGGGGAGGAAGGAAGGAAGGAAGGAAGGAAGGAAGGAAGGAAGGAAGGAAGGAAGGAAGGAAGGAAGGGGAAGAAGGCTGTCAGGCAGGCCAGGCCAAATTAGCCAACTATGAAATTATAACAGTATTTGTTTTGATCACATGTCCAACCTCCGTCATATATGTGCTAACTCTCTTTGAGTCACACCTCTATACTCATACCACCAGTCTCTTGAGTGACCCAAGGACTCTTTTAGTTTTCAACGTCTACTGTAACAAATTGCACATAAATATTCTATGGTTCTGGAGACCAGAAATCAAAATAGTTTTCAAGAGGTTTAGGTTAAGGTGGCAAAAGAGACACCTTCTTCTGGCAAGCCTTCACATACAATCGACTTCCTTGCCTTTTCAGGGTGGTAAGGGTCTCCTGCATGCCCTCTTTTCACTCCCTTTCTCAATCTTCACCTCATCTCTCCTTTCCAATTTGTTCCAGTCCTTATATGCCCTCTGACTCCAGTCATTTGTTCTCCCTCCTTTAATAATCCATGTGACCACAGTGGTCCCACACAGATCATCTGAGCCAATCTCATCTTCATGTCCTTACTGTAAAGTTTCTCTTGCAGCTAAGTCATTGTCTTCATGATGTCTAAAATTCAAGACAAGAGCATGTTTTCATGTAAGGAAGCATGATTCAGCCTACAGTTGAACATAAAATAAAGGTAGATGTGAGTTAGTCATCTTATGTAAGTCATTCTTACTAAATACTCCCATACTTGATGTCTTAAAGTAAACAAGAATTTCTGCGCGTATATTCACATTTTCTTCTTTCCTTTCGAAGACTTGTATCTCCTAGTAATCCCATAAAACCTACATTTGTGGCAGATATGAAAATGCACTTAGACAGCTAAAAAATACAGAGCTATGTGATTTCAGTTGCCAACTCATTCTTTTCTTGTTAAACCCTGAAAACTTGACATTTGAAAAAGAAAACCTATGCCACAATCTTAAGTTGTAAAATATTCTGCCAGTTTGAGAACATAGAATTTTACAAGGTTCAAAATATCTATCCCATAATCAACTTTGAAATGGTAGTCAAACATACAGAAAGAGAACAGGGAGAGAGAGAGAGAGAGACAGAGAGACAGAGAGACCGAGAGACAGAGAGACAGAGAGACAGAGACAGACACCTAGAGAGGCAGACAAAGAATATGAGAGGATTCTGTTTTGCTTTGTTAATTCTTTACATGTTCTTTGAGGAAACATTTAAATGTAGGGGGCACACAATGGCCTTTCTGAGTTTAAACCATTCCAGTCTCTTCAACAGATCATTGCACAAGAATGAGCAACTGCTTGCTGAAATTCCACCTCTTGTAAGCACCTCCTGTGCCCTCTTGTTCAGGAGAAAGTCCAGACTATTAATCAGGTATGGCTGAGGCCAAGAACAAAAAAAATCTCTGTTTTGTGGCCAGATGACCACCATGTGCATTTGGCAAGAGTGCGCCCTCACCATCCCCAGATCACTTAAATGATCCCAGCAACCTTTGAGCCTCTGCTTCCATGCTCCAGTTCCTCTGCTTCCCTGCTCACAGACCACTGACTCACATTGTATCCACAAACTTCTGGATATATTAAGTTGACTCTTGGTGTTTGATATATTGGTAGTGTCATCCTCCTTTAGCCAAAAACCTTGGTGAAAGGCAAAAATTGTTCAGTCTGTATAGTGCTTACCTTGTAAGCCTGAGGACCTGAGTTCAGTTCCCAGAAACAATAGTTTTAAAAATAGGGTGTGAGCCTTATAATCTCAGAGATGATGTGACAGAGTCGGGAAGATCCCTGAAGTTCACTGGCTAGCCCAGTCAGACTGGACTTCTTGGCAAGTTGATGGTCAAAAGGGGACAATCTCTCAAAAGCAAGGGAGTAATGAGTCTGTGGAAATGCATACAAACACTGTCTACTGGTCTCTACAAACATGTACACACTTGTGCATATACATACACGTTTGAATCTGTACAACCCACAAACAGACAGACAGACAGACAGATAGATAAGTAAGTCTTGAGTGAGAATATCTTCAGAATTAAGACATTTTATGGAGAAACAGCAGAGCATTTTGTTCTATATCATTCAAGTGGGATCTCATTGAAAACTCCACCAATGGAAAGAGTCTTGGTAGCATTATAGAAGAGTTAACGTAGTTTTGCATGGCTTTTTGTATACTCAATACTGACCACTAGGATTTTGATGTCAGATCCAAGCTGAATTCAGTCATAACCAAATTTGTCACCTTGGAAATTTTGCACCCAGCCTTATGTCCATGGCCCATGTTAAGGACTTGTCCTCTCACTCATGGGTCTAATAAGAACATGAAATTGCAAAAGCAAGTGCCATGTTTGGCACACTGACTGACACATATTACACACTCAATGAAAGGAGATCATTACTGTGGTTAGTGGTCTTTATGACTGTTATTGACCTAAATAAATTAAGGAACTATTTACTGAACCCCTCTCAGGAAGGCAGTAGACTAGATGACAGGGCTCTTCAGGCAGAATTATCTGCCCTGCACACTGTAAGCAATTCAAGGGATTCCCTTCCATCTGTGTTGTAAACACACAGCACAGTATTTTAGGCATAAGTCATACTCAATATACTCTGACTGGAATTAAACACAAAGTGTTCACAATACTACTAGTAAAGAGTATGTGAACTATCCTATGTGATAGATAGATAGATAGATAGATAGATAGATAGATAGATAGATAGATAGATAGAGGTAGACAGATAATAGAGATTAGTTATCTTCTGTCTTAGAACAATTGGATAGTTTAGAGCAAAGGAAGCATTTGTGCTCAGCCTGAACATGAGTGTAGGCCTTTAAAAGGTGTAACTGTAGGTTAAGGAAAACCATTCTAAGCATTAAAAAGAGTGCCATCAAATTCCTCCAAATATGTTTAATAAGGAGTAACTTCTGTGTTTGAGAGATTGTATACACACACACACACACAAGGGGAAATGGCAGCCTAGAAGACTTCAGGAATGAGTTAAAACTAAGTCAAATAGAACCCAGGATGAAACAGGAAGAAAAAAGTTCCTTACTGAGCCTTGAAATCTGAATATGTTTTTTCAATCTCAAAGTAGGAGATGACCCAGTCTACTTTGAGTTAGACCAAATTTTAGAAGAGTTGATATGGTAGTATTTATAGGAAAGACTGGAGGATAAAAAGGGAGATGGCAGTGTGTGCCAAGTCCTTGTTGAGAATAATAAACAGGTGAGGGCTGGGAGGAAACAGAGCAAGGGAGAAGGCTAACAGTTCCAAAGGCACAAAGACAGTCAACTATAACCAGTGAGATGAATGAAGCAAGACACTGAGCTCATTCAGAGTCAATTGTCAGAGCATGTTGTATCAGGATACCAAAGAAAAAAGAAAGTTCACCTTTGAACTGAACAATACAGCAACTCTTGTTAAAAGTCAAAAATAAAAACAATTATGTGCAATAATTCTACTTTAAGCCAACAGTTCTTGTTTTGGCTACTGTTTCCTGTATTCAGCAATGGCCCTACTTATCTTGGATTGTCCCTTTTGGGGTGGGGGGCTCCAACCTTAAAGTCCAGAGTGTCATATAAGCTTCTGTGGTTATAGATATATTTCAGAAGGAGGAAGTCGATAGCCTTGTGTGAGACAAACACTACAAATTCCCAAGCACAGACAGGAACTAGCATAATGAAAGAGTTGTTGCATGTAGGGATGTATGTAGCTTACACATGAGTCCCATGGCATCATGAAGGCTCTGGGAGTGCTGAAAGTTTGATGATATAGTAAAGGGGGCCTCTCTGAGGTCATGTAATTGTCCATCCTGTGTTTATGGGATGCTCCCTAAATTTTACATTCGGTGCACTTCATTTGCTTGATCTAGTACTTCTATGAGTTGTATGAACTCTTTTCCAGGACCAAGTAATAATAAAGGGTGTGTATTTAGGAGCCATATGTTGTAGAATTTGGGGTTGGCAAACTTTTCCTGCAAAGAACGAGATCACTAATAGTTTGGACTTTGCAGGCCATATGCTCTTCACCTCAACTACTCACTTTTGCCATTGCAGTAGGGCAGCAACTATAGATGATGTGTAATGAATGGTCATGGCTTTGTTCCAGTAAAACTTTATTTACAAAAACAGGTGGTGGGCCAGATTTGGTCCGCAGGCCAAGTTTCCAATCCTATTTATATAAAGTGTAGCAAGATCTTAAGTTTAGATTTTAGATCTATTTACAAAAATGTGGACTTGGACATCCACATCTATAAAATATGATCATGGTGTCTGCCTTATTGGTTTGAGTATGAGGAAAATGAAAGTGTTAAAATGCTTAAGGCATCCAATGCAGAATTGAATGTTTCTTTTATTTTTGTATTGTAAGAAGAATATCTAGCATTTAATAAATGTTTGTGATATGTCGGGTACTATGTGAAGCACAAAATTGTAATCTTTAATAATTCTCTGAAATGTAAACTTTTATAGCATTCCCTTCTACTCATAAAGAAATTGAGTTACTGAGTGATGCCAAGAGAAACTGTTACACACAGTATGCGATGTAGTTGATGTTCCATGCTTCATCTCAACTAAGTGAGCTCCAGGGACCGGGGGAGTAAGCCCTTTGCTGTCACTGGGAGCTAGGTACTGCTCAAATTCTCCTAAGCCATTCAGGTTTTTGGAGTTTTCATAATTCCTCATGAGTGACACAACTAAAATAAGTAGTTTAATACAATAGCATTTCTAAATTCACATTCACTGAGATAACATCTGACATAAATAATACCCTTATTCCAGTCTTCTTCCTACCCACATACCCTTCCTTCCTCCAAAGAGGAGTACAACAGCCCAGGCAAACCAAAATATTATTGAAAAGGCTAATGCAAACCCATTTCAAAATTTTTATCCTATAATCACTCTGAAAACGCGCGATTTCAAAGCTGCCCTGCAGAACAGCATGCTGGATTAATTATGCCAGACTGCAGCAATAACCTTGAATTAAAGCTGCAACCTTCTATTTTTAAGAAACACTTGCCTTTCTGGTTGATGAAACCTGTCGTCCCATCAGGTAACAGACGTGACCAGGAAAGAGAGAAGCGGTAATGAGTCAATCCAAGCTGTTTGATACATTTCAAATCTTCTTCCCACAGAGTGTAGCTGCCACAAGCTACATCCCCAGTCTGGTTCTCAAAAACTTGCTCTCCTCCCTGATGGGTGAATGTATCCCAGACACAAGGGCCTCTTCCATCTGCATCCCAGCCTCCTGAGAAAAGGAAGAAAATTAAATGGTGTCTTGACACCAAGAGGCATATGTGGAATGTAAATATTTGTCACCAAAAGAACATATCTCATTAGCTCAATGTACCATATTTATAACTTTAAAACGTGCCTTTAAAACAACATGCATGAGTGGGTTATGTGTTTAACTGTCCTTGATCCCTGATGCTGACTAGTAGCAAATGAAAACTTACTGCATAGTACCGTTGCATAGCAGGCTTTCATGGTTCATTATCTGAAGCTCTCTCATCCGGTAAACAGAGGCAGTCCCCAGCTTATGAATGTCTTTGAGTTGCAAGCTTTGCTGCTCGGAGAACATTACTCTTGGTGGTGACTGACAATTGTGCCCTTGCCTATTAGAGTCAGAAGACCTTATCTCTGCTGGCTACACTTGAACCCATTCTCCTTTCTGACAGAGAGGTCTTTAATTGTCCAGCCTGTTGTTTGTGGGAAGACACAATGAGCTTCCACTATTGATGCTCATGTTTGAAATATGTTTGTTTATACTTCTATTAAAGCAACAGATGCTTTGTATCAAGCACTCTGCCTTGTGAATGAGATTCTCAGGAGGACTATGCTGTGCACAATGTTGAGGAACTTACCCAATTCCAAATTACCAGTTGCAAAACCACTAATGTAAAGGTCCTAGACTTCACAGAAATGCAGGAAAGACAAATGAAAATTTATTATCCAGTTGTGAACTAAAATTAGAGAAGGCTTTTTTACTTTTTTAGCTTGGTAATTTTATAAACTTAAAATTGATCTAAAGTATGAAATCTATTGATTTAAGAATACATATATACACACATATATATACAGGGCTGTTATATTTTGTATATTTAAGAGTATGTGAAGCAAGCTATGTAGCCTGAGTCTAGAAGTATATCTAGAAATAATGGCTTTAGACCTGTGCTTAGATTTGGAGAAAAGGGCAAAATGGAATTAAAAAGGAATACAAGGATCATCAAGGGTATTCCCCACGTGTTTCTCCTTAAACAAGATAGAGTATATATGGATTAATGTCTATTATATAATCTATAATTCCTCTTACAAACCTAAAATATTTCACCATAATTTCTCTGTAAGAAAGAGTTCATAGCTAGAGTATAGTCATCAACAGCAGTGACAAGTACCCTCTGATCCTCACTGGGAACCTATGGGCTCATATTTTGCGAATAACTCTAACAGAGTCAACTGTAGTCTCCAGCCTGTCAAAAGGAGAACATTGGTAATAAAGAAAATGATGGGAAGTGAATAAGATGAGACAGAGGAACTGCTAAAGAGAGGAGACTGACAAAAGCTAAAGTGATTGTGTCCATCAAGGCAGGGTACTAATAACCATACAAAGACACCAATGTCACCATTGTTCATCTGGGGCTTAGAGAGAATGGGTAAAAGGCAGCTGGTGTTTTATTCTAGTGTGGAATAGGCACAACCATGAAAATATAAATTTCCAGTATCATTATTTTGGAATGACTGGTTGTATTAATAAATGAAAATTCTTAATCTGAGAGAATTTAAGCAGTGTAGTGCTGGCTAATATGTCATTGTTGACTATGTTTATAAATATGTGGAAGTATATCATGAATAGATATATGAATATACTTCACAAATAATAACACACAATGCCCCTTACAGTAAGTTTCTTGTCACCAACTGACTTTGATAGAATGTTTTCATTTTGTCAAATTCTTATATCTATAGCCATTCTACACTTGAAACCTGACAAAAATGTGAGGTCTCTCATGAATATCGATTGATATTTTTAGTTAAAAGGACAGACAAAATGAAGAAAGGCAAGAAAGACATTTCATAAATTGATTTGTTTGCCTGTAACAACAGCATTCCTTTACTGAGTTAGATAAGCATTTTACACAGCAGACTACTATTTCCTCCGTTTTCTGTGCTATTCAAAATGTACCAGCCACAGACAGGAAATACTTGACTTACAGATGCATTCATAACATTTTCTCTATTACATACTTAGGCCTAGACCACAAACAAAAAGACAAATCAAATACTGAATTGTAGCACATGCCTATACCTATGGTGTAAAATACCTTCAATATGGCCAGTTGCAAACAACCTATGCTGTACCATAGAACAAATGAGCAATAACACATATTTTAAACTTCTCCATGCACAGAAAACCACAAAATATCCACAGCATAAGTAGTAGTGAAATATAAGCTATGACTTTGTGCTTATCAGCTTAGCTTTTCTAAGAATTATATACTTATGAATTTATGTAACTTTATTTTTAATATTACCTATGTTTAACCAACAGATCATGAATCATAACAGTAGGATTTCATGGACCAACAAAGGTTAGGTTCCCATCACTGTTGTTTTCTTCAGATTACCATCATTAGTAGTAAGAGTGGTGTTCGTATCTGAATCTCTGAAGTCCAAATCTTTCCACTAGACCATATTGATCTTAGTCATAATATTTCAGAATAATGAAGAAAGACTACACCATGACACCCAACTCCACATATACAGGCCCAATGGTCCATTTTGGATATGTGGTCCATGTAATACACTTTGACAAGCACATAGAAGAAAAGATGCTAAAAAGGATGAGACAGGTGAAGGCACATAGTGTGTCTATAAGAAACTAAGTTTTGAATTGAGAATTAACAGTGGGAGCTATGGCAGGAAAAGAGAGTAGACACCACTTACTAGAGCTCCAACAGAAATGCTGTAGATAGGCTGATATTAATAATTCAGTTTCCAGTGCCACTGCAGCTTCCAACCCAGCAGCGGGAGCCAACACACCGGAGTCTCCTACTCCACCCACAGGACTAGGTAAGTCAGGGCCCATTTCCAGACCCTGGAAGCAACAGTTGCAGACCCTGCCTGTGTTTGGGGTCTGCAACTGTGGCTACCATCCCTGTGGTGGGAGCCAATGCACCCCAGCATCCTAGTCTCCTGCTCCACCCACGAGACTAAGTCTATCAGGGCCTGTCTGCAGGCCACACAACTGTGTCTAGGGTCTACCACTAGGATGAAATCCAAAGCACCCCAGCATCCTAGTTCATTTCTCTCCACCAAGGAGACCAAGAAGTGGAGAGCTACCAGAGCACTGGACTTGCCTACACCCACCAAAGGGGAATGCTGGTCCTGAACCCACCAGGAGACAAAGAGGCACCTTCTAGAGCCCACTGCAAGAATGGATGGGAAGGAGACAATATAAAAACACAATGAGCAACAGAAAAACCAGTATGACACTGCCAGAGTCCAGAGATCCTACAACAGCAAGACTTGAACACCCCAACACAAATGAAGCAGAAGAGAATGACATTAAAAACAACTTCATGAAAATGATAGAGGACCTCAAAGAGAATATGAGAAAATCCCTTAAGGAGATGGAAGAAAAGACAATACAAAAAATGCAGGAGATGGAAGAAAAGACAAAGCAAAAATTGCAAGAAACAATTCAAACAGTGCAAGGGCTGAAATCTGAAATAGAAACAATAAAAAACACAGTCTGAAGGAATTCTGGAAATAGAAAAGCTGGGCAAACAGTCAGGTACTACAGATGCAAACATAACCAATGGAATACAGGAGATGGAAGAGAGAATCTTAGGTGTTAAAGATACACTAGGAGAATTAGATTCATTGACCAAAGAAAAATTTAAGTCCAACAAATTCCTAACACAAAATATCCAGGAAATATGGGACACAATGAAATCACCAAACTTAATAATAGGTATAGAAGAAGGTGAAGAAACCCAACTCAAAGGGACAGAAAACATATTCAACAAATCATAGAAGAAAACTTTCCCAAACTAAAGAAAGATATGCCAATGAAGGTTCAAGAAGCTTACAGAACACCAAATAGAGCAGACCCCACAAAAATACTCTCAACACATAATAATCAAGACACCAAACATACAGAATAAGGAAAGAATATTAAGAGCAGCTAGGGAAAAAGGCAAACCTATCAGGATTACACCTGACTTCTCCATGGAAACTCTGAAAGCCAAATGGTCATGGATAGACATCCTACCAACACTAAGAGACCACGGATGCTGGCTGGCCCAGACTACTGTACCCAGGAAAGCTTTTAATCAATATAGATGGAGAAAACAAGATATTTCATGACAAATCCATATTAATTAATACACATCCACTAAACCAGCCTTACAGAAAATTCTGGAAGGAAAACTCCAACCCAAGGAAGTTAACTACAACCAGAAAAACATAGGCAATAGATAATAACATATTACCAACAGGCAAATGAAAAACTTGTGGAAATCCACATACAATTCCACCATCAGCAACCATTCCAAAAACAAATGAAAATTAGCTATCCATGGCCATTAATATCCATCAATATTAATGGTCTTAACTAACCCATAAAAAGACACAGGCTAACAGAATACATTTGAAGGCAGAATCCATCTTTCTACTGCATAAAAAAACATACTTTAGCTTCAAAGACAGATGTTACATCAGAATTAATGGTTGGGAAAAGATTTTCCCATCAAATGGACCCAAGAAACAAGAAGGGGTAGCAATCCTAATACCTAATGAATTAGACTTTAAACTAAAATAAATCAAAAGAGATGAAAGAGGTCATACTCATCACAGGAGTAATCCACCAAGATGAAGTATCAATTCTGAGCATCTATGCCCCAAATACAAAGGCATCCTAAAAGAAACATTACTAAAACTTGAAACACATATAAAAACCTCACACACTTATAGTGGGAGACTTCACCATCTCACTCTCACCACTAGACAGGACTACCAGACCGAAACTTAACAAGGAACTAATAGAATTTATGACCCAATTGGGTTTAACAGACATCTATAGAACACTCCATCCAAACACAAAAGAATATACCTTCTTCTCAGCGCCACATGGAACCTTCTCAAAAATCGACCACATACTTGGCCGCATAGCAAACCTCAACAGGTACAAAAAAAATAGAATAACTCAATGTATCTTATCAGACCACCATGCATTAAAGTTGGGATTCAAAAACAACACAAATCGCAGAAACCCTGCAAACTCATGGAAATTGAATAATGCTTAAATGCACCACTCCTGGGTCAAAGAAGATATAAAAGAAACAAATTAAAGACTTCCGAGAATTCAATGTGAATGAAGACACAACATACCCAAACTTATGGGACATTTAGCAAGCAGTGCTAAGAGGAAAGTTCGTATCACTAAGTGCCCACATAAAGAAACTAGAGAATAGTCACACTAGAGAATTAACAGCACAACTGAAAGCTCTAGAACAAAAGGAAGCAAACTCACCCCAGAGGAGAATATGCCAGGAAATAAATTGAGCGCTGAAATCAATA